ACAAACCTGTTGTATTGTAGATCTGTCATATTCCATGTAGAGACCTTTTTCTTTGTTGCTGGGCAAAATGCACATGTTAATTAATAAACACAGAAGATGTCCTCTCAAGTTTCATTATAATGATTTCAAGAAATGGAAGTTCAAACATACAAGTGTTGTGTTGATTTTATGACTACTGTATGTGCCGGTAGGTTGATTCCATGAGCAAGAGTATTCGTTGTGCACAAAATTTGAATATCACCCTTAAGAAAAAGACTTTCGATGAGATTACGATCCTTCATGGAAAGGCCACCATTGTGATAACCAACTGCAAACAAACAATTTATTTGTTAACAACTCAGTGTGGGACTTGCAATAAATTAAAGTTTACTGTGAGCTGAACAGCAAACAAGTAGCTCTTATACCACCATAAGGAATATAAGATTGCATTTGTTTGTCACTGCATGATAATGAAGCTTCCCTTAGCCTCTCTTGCTGTTCTCTGTTTTTAATGAATGGATTTGAACGGCCAAAGGCCATGACTGTCTGAGAGAGTCTATGTGCTGCTTCTTGTGCACCTTTTCTAGTAGAACAGAAAACCAGAGCAGATTTCCCTCTCGAATATTGCATGAGGATATCTGTGAATCAGTTGTAAGTATATAAGTTATTCATGATTTTTTAGCGTTGAAGTTTCACAAGAAAAACAGATACAGATATAAAGGAGGGGCATCTATCGAAATGTCATCTTTACCGAAAATGTAGTTTTGAAGGCGCTGGAAAAGGGAACAATATAAACCATCAGAAGAGTGAATATTGGGTCTATTTTTCAAGTACCTATTTTCCTAGTAAATGCATTTCTTGGAAAATAGGAGCATATGTTTTAATATTATCAAGAACGTAGTCTAAACAATTACCTTTTCAAATAGAAAATCATTTTTTGCTGGAGTGTAGCCTGCAAAAGAGGTAGTTTTGAATATGAAATAATAAATGGGAACCAAATATGATTAAAGAAAGACCATGCTTCTGCAAATTCATAAAGGTATACCAAAAACTTTTGTTGTCAACACGAAGTGATAACTAACAAGCATTTGTCTTCCTCCAATAAAGGATATATCAGGAAGTTTTTCCTCTTAAAAAATACTTAACAAAAAGAACAGAGTATGTACAGCGAGTTCCGATCAAAAGGATTAGGAAAGTAGAGCACTTGATAAGAAACATAAATTGTGAATGGAGAATCATGACATATATGCATACCAAAAACTTTTGTAGTCAACTTTACAGGCCTCATTTCTTCTCCAAACCTGTAGGGACAGCAGAAATAGTAAAAAATAACTGGATGCTCATATTAATGAAGATAAAAAGGATAACCTAATGCAATAGCATAAAAGGTCAAGATACCTTTTAACTCCTCGGACAGGAACCTTGAGCCATTCCGCTGCAGTGGTTTACACACAATTTATAATTGTTAAATCATTTATCACTTGTAATCTTTTAGAAATAGTAAATGCAATAAACTCCAGTCATGCTCTTTCTTTTAACTATCAAAATTACCATTGAATACAAATCTTACCAAGGTCCTCA